TTTTACTGATTGGCTCAATGAACCGAACTGCATTGGAATGTTACTATGTGAAGTGCCTTGAGATGACTCTTGTCGTGATTTGGCGCTTTATAAATAAACTTGAATTGTACTGAAAAAAAATTCAGAATATGTATTTATATATACAGTTACGTAGAAAAAGAGTAGATAAAAATTAAAGAACCAACTAGGGCTGAAACGAATACTCGAATAATTCGATAAAAAAATAGTCGACTTTTATTTTGTAAATCTTTGTTTATGTACACTTATGTACTAACTTATACAATCTCCTTCCGGTATGACCGTGACAACGTTGATCACAGCACCTTAATTAACAGACTTTGTGGCTTGGTGGGGATCTCTGGAACTGTTCTAGACTGGTTTAGATCGTACCTTTCTAACAGAAGTTACAGTGTCTGTAGAAACCAAATCATGTCAGATTCTACTGATCTGTTCTGTGGGGCACCCCAAGGCTCTGTTTTGGGTCCACTCTTGTTTCTAATGTACATTCACCCTCATGGACAGATAATTGATTATTTTCATAATGCCTCTTATCACCTATATGCAGATGACATTCAGCTGTACTGCTCCTTTAAGGATTCTGGGTTCTATAAACTGAATTACTAGAGTGTCTATCAGCTATCACCAGCTGGATAGAAGATAACTTCCTTCAGTTAAACTCTGAAAAGCATGACTGATCATTGCCCCTGAGAGCATGGTTCCCCTGATTAGCCAAAAACGTGATCATTTATCTTCTGCCATCAAGTCAAACTGAAAGAATTTGAGTGTTGTTTCTGACCAATCAATGTCTCTTGATGGCCACTCAAAAACGTTGGTCCGAAACAGTTTTTATCACTTAAGAAATATCTCCAAACTGCAAAGGTTGGTGTCAAAACTTGAAATGGTTCTCCATGCCTTTATCTCCTCCCGTCTAGATTACTGTAACACACTTTTCACGTTTTAACAAAAAAGCCCTTGACCGCCTTCAGTTGGTCCAAAACTCTGCAGCGAGGCTCCTAACTGGAGCAAACTGAAGAGCACACATCACTCCTGATGTCTCTGCACTGGTTACCCGTTAACTTTAGAGTTCATTTTAAGAATCATGGCTATAACTTTCAATGCTCTACATGGTCAAGCTCCTCCCTATATTACTGAAATGTTAAAGCCTTATGCTCCAACCCGAGCCCTCAGGTCCACCCACCAGAACCTTCTAGAAGTTCCAAAGACCAGAAACAAAAGTTGAGATGATCGCTCCTTCCAGACTGTTGCACCTTGACTTTGGAATGATCTTCCTTTATCCTTACGCAGCACTGACACTCTGGACACTTTTAAAACAGCTAAAGACCCTTTTATTTAAAGCTGCTTTGACCTAAATCATTAATTTTCTTATTTTTTTATTTTATTTTATTTTTTATTTACCGTGTCCTGTCTGGCTGTGAAGCAAGCAGAATTGATGTCTGAATGCTGGTATCAAGCCTTACAGATTTACTCTCAGGTGGAGCATTTAAGCGTCTGCTTTTAATGTCACGCCTGATACTTAAAACTTTATTGTTATTGTTTTTGAATGCTTTGTAATTCCAACCAGACACAGAGACAGAGGTGAAAGAGAAAGGAAAAGAAAATGTGGGGAGAGAGGGGGGGGGGGGGGGGGGGGTTCCACAAAAATAAACAATAATGAACAAGAGTCTGCTTCTAGACCTGCAGAAAAAGACAAAAAAAAAAGCAAAAGGACAAAAAAAGTGGGACACAGCAACAATACAACAAGATCTAGCCATCACTGCGTCAACTTGATGAAGAAAATATATAATCAACATTGCTTAACTGAAGAATCACGATAATAAATCACAGTGCATTAAGTGCCCACCACAGTCTTAAGACCTGTGTTTAACGTTCCCAAGCCCATACTTTTGAGAGCACCATGTGAGCACCCGTGTGTGTACACGCGCTTGTTTATTTAAGGTTTCTCTATAGGAGCGCCCAACAGAGAGTGCGAGGGACCACAGATCTGCCCCCCAAAGATGCGCAGGAGACGGGGGGAGCTCCAAGTCCCAGAGATCCAGGTGCTGCCCCAGAACACAGGAACCCCAAGGAGACTGCAACCAGGAAGGCTCCCCCCCCCCGGGGGGCCACAACCAGCAGCCGGCAGAGTCCCGGGAGACATCAGCGGCAAGCCCACAGGCCCGCCCGCAGCCTCCCACCCCCTAGCCGGGCGAGCCCGGGACCCAGCGACCCGGGACCCAGGGACGACCACCCCCGCCGGGGACCCAGCAGAGCCCAGGGACCCAGACCCCACCAGGCAGCCACCGGGATCTATCAAGCAGATGCCTGAATCTTAAACCCCCAGACCCGGTTGCCACGAACACTCAGGCAGACCATGGCACAACCCCTCACACCAGGTGTGGTAGGGGGAGGGGGGACAAAGATCTATATCATCAAGAGAAGTTCCAGGAGAGGGGAGGAGTCAAAGGCCCCACCTGACATATACAATCATACACAAACACAGTCACACACTCCCTCCCTCATGCTCACACATGCACATACAACCCAAGACTTACAAAAATGCACGCCGGACACCCACTCATGCTCCCCATACACACCCTATTCACTCTGGTCCCGGTACTGCTGCACATTAGGTACAACCATCACCGGTAACCAGAGTTTGACCCTTTCTGCTGGGGTGCTGATGAGCAGGCTCCCCCGCCCAACGCTGAGCACAGCAACCCACCACCCCATACCCCAACCAGACGGCCAGATCTCCCTCCTAGCCTCCAGCCCCAGGAAGCCAAGCAACAACAGAGGTGGCTCCATTATAGTGTTGTGTGATCATGAGGTGTATTCCATGGCTGTGGTGAGTGGGCAGTGCGGGCATCATCCGGCCTATGCCAGCTGATGCCACCGCACCACCCCACTTACACCCTCAGCCCTCGGTGTCTAAGTGCGGTTTAAAATTGGAAGAGGGCACCGGCACCCGGGAGGAGGCTGAGATGTCCCCCTGCCAAATGCCGTTGAATGTGCTCACTCCCAAGGCCCTAAGTGTGTGTTTGTGTGGAATGTCGTCGGTGGAAGTGTATAAGGTGCAAATAAAATTGGGGGGCAGGTTGCCACAGGAATGCGGAAATGGGGTCCATACCCGCACTCCCTGACTTGCCCACTTGCCCCAGCAGAATATCTATGCCCATTCCCACATTTGCACAACTTCCAGAATATATGACATGGGAAATCCAGGTAAAGTTGGGTCCTCCCCCTCCCCTGTGATGGAACGGCAGAGGAGCCAAGGTCTACCTGAGGCCCCCGAACCCGGGCCAGGCACTGCTGCATGTTCCTGCCTTCTTCCCGGCAGCATACATGTCAGGACCCGACCCCCAAGGCCCCGCCCAGATCCCCACACAGGGCCGGCCATCCCGGCCAACAGCAGTACGTCCCCAGCACAAAGCATCCCAGTTTCAGGCATCAGCTATGGATCTAAGACAAGGTGTGTGCTGTAGAGTTTAAATGAAGATAAACTGAGTATCGCCAGTATGCTAACTGAGACTGAGAAATGTTTAGCTGGTACCTCTAAAAGGCAACAAGTGTTTTTTTTTTCTCCATGTTTTATTGCAAGTCAGTATGAGAATTAGACTAAAATGTTTGAAGAAGAAATGATCTTTTGTATAGCACCTCTCTAGATAAAAGTCACTAAGCACTTGCTTGCTTGTCGGCTTTGGTTTTGCATGCGTTTTTTTTTTCAAGTATTTTATTTGTAACGTTGGAATTCTTATCTTTATTGCAAAAAAATTTATAACAGTAAATGTATAACAGTTTGGGAGTTAGTTTGTTTTATTGTTAGAAAAACAACCCTAGTTGTTAGCTGGAAAACAAAATGTATTTTCTCTATATTTCAGGAATCAGCATCATTTGACAGACTGGGCCAGAAAATCCATCCTTCTCAGCTGAACATGCTTCTGAGTTAAAGACTGCAAATGAAAAGGAACTGAATAAAATAAATGTTGTTATATAAATATACTGGTTGACTCATTTTTCACAACTAGTACAGCTCTGTTTACATTTTTACCGCATTTTCAAGTAAACAAAGGATTATCCAATTATTTCATTAATGAACAACTATAATAATCGATAGCTGCAGCCCTAGAACCAACCAGTGTAAAAAGAGCATATTTGCAAAATGAAAATTGTTTACTTCCATTTCAACAAATGAAATAAAGAAAACATGTGCAAGAGCTTTACAGGGAGTGAAATAAAGGCGTGTGTGTAAAATATGTACTACAAGACCCCAACTTTTATTTGGCATCCTTCCACAATTGAATGGAATCAAATAGTTGCTCTTAATAAGCTGCAGTAGTTTGACCAAGAGAAAATAGTGAACAATGTTTAGAACTTCAAATCAATGCTGATGTGTAACTTACCTTCTGGTGACACTTAAAAATAAATAGACTTTTAACGACTTTTTCTCAACAACTAAGATGGACTTCAGCCTTAGCATGAGTAATGATAAACTCTAATTTCTTTGGTTCCATCTTTAGACAAAGACCAAACACAAGGAGCCAAATCAAGCAGGAAGAGATGTGAACAGAGCTGTAAGTTTGTGTTTTTGTAACAATCGTCAGCCTATCTACACTTTCATCTGTTCTCTGGTAGATAAAAACATGCAGGTGGAGAAGAGACTAGCTAAACTTCAGACGAGGCCAAAATAAATTACTGCCACCGTATTGGGTTTAATGTGCCCCCTGTAACGAGATCCATGTGGGACACTTAAACGTGTGCTTGGGTCAAAATGCTCCACTCCTCTTGCCAAGCTCACCTTTCAAATAGCAGAAAATCTAAGGCCTGCTTTATCTTAAGACTGAATTTATACTTTGTTTCAAATCTTTTAGTGAACAACCTTTTCCTTTTGCAGTATGAAAATCCTGAGCAGAGATTTACTTATTTCATGTTGCAACTAGCCAATATAAGATTTACCTTCTATGGTAGTCACAGAACTAAGGTAGGTTTACATTTCATAATACCTTAAATATGCCAACCCAGTCCTTTGGATGTGGTTTGATGAACTTTGTCAGGGTATAGTGACACTCCAGTGCAGCATGAGGAAGGTAACTCTTCCCCACATTCTGGAAGATGACATGTGCAAAGTTTGACGTGTCCATGTTTCTGCTCAATGAGGTTCTGTCCAGGTACAAATCCATCAATTTTTCAGCAGTGCCTAGACAGTGAGAAAGAAAAATGAAAAAATTAACAATGATATCCTGTGACTGGTCCACAGTTATTATAAGCTTTAGATTTTACAAAAGGCACTTCTCAGACCAAAAAGACAACATTGTGAGAATGCATTTTTAAACCTTAATGTGTAGAATGACTGTATCTAACTTTCAGTGATCTAACAGTTCATCTACATCTACTCGCTTCAATGCAACTAATGTATGGCTAATGACACCGAAGTGACTGTTTCACTCCTGTTCCATAAGTTTGACATCTGTTGCCAGTAACAGCTCAGCAATAGAAGTTTCCGGATGACAAGGAAAGATGAGTCATACACAGTAAGTTGATAATAAATACATTTCCCCGTAATATCAAGTCGTTGGTAATTGAAAAAGTAGCTTGAGACATTTTTAGAGCTGATTACAACAAAGTCAGTTATCAAACTGTGTCCTATCTTGTATCATGGCGCTAGTGCACATGTGGGCACCTTTATGCTTAAACATGGTGTTCATTATGGACAATTCATGATGAGCACAGAAGTCCAATAACAAAACACCACTTGAATTCATATTTGGGGGGGGGGGGGTCCCTTCAAACCACACGTCTCCAGATCTCATTGTTGTTGCCCATGTGAGTGTTGAAGTCTCCAAGGTGAACAAGGGAGTTACCAGATGGAGTGCTCTCCAGCACCCCTCCAAGGACTCCAGCGAAGATGGATAGTGTGATCTGCAGTTTGGTGCATAAGTTCAAGCAACCGTCAAGACCCGTCCCCTCACTCATTGGTGGAGGCAGGCTACCCTCTCATTCACCGGGACACACCCCAACGTATATGCACCAAGACTGGCTGCCACAAGTATGCCCACCACTGCTAGGCGCTTCTCAGTGGGGGCAACTCCAGAGTAGTAACATGTCCAGCTCCTTTCAAGGAAACTGGTTCCAGATCCAGAGTCATGCATCAAGGTGAGTCCGACTATATCTAGTCAGAACCTCTCAGCCTCTCACACCAGCTCAGGCTCTTTCCTCACCAGAGAGGTGACATTCTATGTACCAACTGCCACCTTCTGTAGTCGAGGATCAAAGCGCCTTTGGCCATCTACCATCTCACATGGCCCTTCCCACGAGCGGTGAGCCCATGGGAAAGAAGACCCACATCTCCTCTTCAGGCTGTACCTAGGGTTGCAGGTATTAACTGGTTTTACTATTAACCACGGTTAACCCCCCTGTAAAAAACAGGTCCAACATGGCCTATAAAAAGCAAAAAGACAATAACGTGACCTGCACGGATAAAACAAAAGTGAAACTTGAATGCACACACACTAAGTGCAAACACTAATGATTAATTGTATCCCGCTACATTACAGCGTTAATAAAAGTGCTCCTCTTCAATGAGTTTGTTACGTGCACGTCTCAGCAAGCTAACGGCCTGACCGAGGCCATTGTGAGCATGTTGGCCACGAGACTCCTGTCCATGGTCGGCGATCAAAGTTTCAAAGAAACGATCAAGCAGTTATTTCACCACAATGATGAAAAAGAAACATGAACAAACATGTGTGTGTGTTTATGTTTCTCTCTGGACACAAGTAAAACAAATACTAGAATTTAATGCATTTTATGATTAAATAAAAATGTTGCTGACTGAGCAATCAAGAACTACTTTCTTTGTGTTAAATTTTAACTTTCTTTATTTGGTATAACAGAATTAATAATTTGGTGAATAAACTAACTTTAAAGATATCGGCCAGAGGCAAAATTCCTTTAACGGGCATGTGTAAAGAAGTATTAAAACCTCAGATGAAAAAGGTTTTCGGATTTTCACGGCTGGAATTGTAAGAAAATCTGATGTTTTTTACCAGAGCAGGAAAAACAGAAACTAACTTCCGGTCTCAGCCCTGGACAGCTGGTGACGTTTCACAAGGAGATCTGCTGAAACAGCTGTAGTTAACAACGCCTGACTCCGGTGTTTCTGCGTTAGCGTTATAGCAGAAAACAACGCGGCCAGATGTAGCTTCTGAAGCCTCTGCTAGTCGGTCAGATTTGTTTTTTCTCTGGGATAGGGCCACGAGAACGGATATTGGATTACCTGAGACGTTCAACCGAACTCCGACCCCGCCAGCTGTTTATCACTACCAGAGGTGCAGACATGTTTTGGACCGTTTGACTCAGAAGACCTGCGACCCGATTTGGACACCTGGGGATGATTCTATTCATCTTCAGAACCGAAATCAGTCCAGTTAGTTAACTTTTATATTTTACTGCTCATTTCTGTGCTTCACCAGGAGCTCTAAGCTGAAGAGTTGTCAGCTGGTCTTAGCTCCACCATCCGTCTTATTATAATTCAATAATCTACAGAAAAATAAAATAATGTGCTGCCAGTTTTACCGCTGTGTGTATTTATTGATATGACTCCGGAAAATATTTAACTGATAGTTTACCAGAATAAATCTTCCTGATGCTGGAGGAACTCGCTAGCTCAGTTCGTCGTTTGCACTAATCCAGGATAGCACGGAGGTTCTACCGGTCCCAGGAGGATCTATTGTTGAAATATGGGGATCATGTTTTAGATTATATCTGTGTGTGTGTGTGTGTGTGTGTGTGTGTGTGTGTGTGTGTGTGTGTGTGTGTGTGTGTGTGTGTGAGCTAACACGGTTAGCAGTGTTCCTGCAGTCATGCTAACAGGACTCGTCTGGAGTCCAGAAGTAGCGGTGCGGTTCTAGATGGATTTATAGGTGTAGGTTATTATTGCAGATTAGACCGATGTCAATTAAAAATGTGTGTAGGACACGGACATATAACCCATATGTCCCAGACCATTAGCTGCAGCTGTGAACGCAATTTTCTGTAATAATTAAAAGCACGAATGTAAACAAAATATAGCTATTCACCATACTAGCAACAGCAGCTACCCTGTTTTATTTCTTGGAGTGACGTATGCGAAACACAGTTCTTCACTGTCTGGAGGAGAGAATTTTGATTTTCTGTAATGATTTATGACAAAAATCCTTAACAAAATGAAAAACGGAACCCAGTTCATATTTATATAGATGGTAAAGTGTAATTATACTGAATTTCTACCATTTTAATGCCGAGCCTTTAATATATTTTATCTTTACGGTAAAGCAGACCCTCAGAGCTGCATTTCCTGAGTTAAGATTGGAAGATGGAGCCCTTCAACCATGCCACCATGCCTCTTGTGAACACAAGTCATTTTTGGTTTTAGGTGCCTACCTCCATCTGACTGTAGCATTTGTATTAACATGTTACAGTTAATTAAAAGTTGTCTGATAAGCTACCATCCTGTCTTTATAATTAGATGGCACATAACTTATCACATTTCAAACTAGAAGCTAATGATGGGTATAATAGAGAATCCTGGTGCAAAAAGCTTTACTTTTATGAATGACACGATTAGTTGACTAATCGTCAACATAACTGCCATTAGTCAACTATTAAAATAGTCATTTGTGGCAGCCCTATTATGTTCTGTTGTTTCTGTAACAAAAACACGTATTTGTCGAAGTTACACGTTATCCATATCCATTAGTTGTTAGTGCTTTATTGTTTTTCTCAGTTTTTTTCTGTTGCGTCACGAATAATTGTTTGTCACTCAAGATATATCTAGTCTATTGTCTCTTAGCTTTTACTTACATATTCAGTAATGTTCATTCACATAATAAATGTTTCTGCAGCAAAGGCTTGACGCTTTAATCATGCCTCTTAACGTAGCAATCAGGTATATTCACTGGCACAGAAACACCTCCTGCATATAATAACGAGAAGGGCTTGTCTCGAAAACTGACTAACGTACTACAATAAAAAAAATAATGAAAAAAGAACACTAAACAGAGTTTTACATCAGGTGGGAGTTTCCATTTTAGCCTCAACTGACTTTTGTATTCGACGCAATAGGCCCTTGAAAGAAAATGTAGCCACAGCTAGCTAGCGTTAGCTACATACTTAGACAACCATATTACCCATTAATGACATAGTAAACATGAGCTTCAAAGAAAACTTAACTATCGAGAAACATGTTAACCGCAGACCATGTTTCGTCATCTAAGGTTACACGCAGTCAACAGCACAGCTATCAGCTGAGAACAAGGTTATAGCTAACGTAAACAGTTCGCAGTGGCCTGTGCAGACCTGCTTTCTAGACGAGTATCAAGAAGATAGAGATAATAAAAGTTGTATTTATCGAAATATTTAAATAATGTACACTGAACATACCTGGATGTCATGTTAACCAGCGGCTAAAATCCAGATGTATCATAAGCACAATTGTTGACGCAGTTCAGTGGTTTCCCCTGTACTTTTCCTGGAATAATAACAACACTGCGTCATTTCCGGAAAGGGCCTGGTTTAGTAAACATACGCCAGTGTACTGAGATCAGCACACAGCAGTATGTGATCCAAACGCTGTTAGGCAAAATGTAGATGCATATTTAAAACACGTGCGAAATTTTTAATAATTTTGGGGTGAGTTGAGGTTTGTTTTTTTTTTTTATTCTGTTTTTGATGAAAAAAATTGTGTAAAATTTCGTTCCTCCCACCGCCGTAAAGGTAATCGTGAATGCGGGGATTCCATTTTTCTTCAGCTACTGCCCTGCATTTCATTGGCTGGAATGGACTTCTGCCGTGCCAGCATCTCTTACCTGATTGGACAGCCCACTTGTCAGTTCTTTTACATAGACCTACGTCAAACATAAAGTTAGAGGAAAGAAGTATGGCCGCTGTGTTGAGGGGTCTTCGGTATCTGGTCGGAAGATGTCAGAAGCATGTTCACATTGCGTACGGTAAGAAAGCTAAACAGAATCTAGTTACTCACGTTGCAGATTAAAACATTTGTTTTAGCTACACAGCTTGTTGTTTGAATGATTTAGTAGCATTATAACATGTTACTTAACATTTTTGAGCGACACGTTCAGTAAATGTGCTCTTGCTGTTTCCAGTCAAGTTATTTCAGAATGTGTTTTTATTTATTTGATTTTATGTTTGTTTGCTAAAGCTACGTATTTGCAGCTGCTGTGTGTATGCAGACAGTCAAATCTCGTTAACATTTTGTTCTTTTTAATTCTGTCTGTCTGCCGCAGTGCCATTCAGTACTTAAATATAACAAAGAAGTTACGTGTGAACATAAATTAAATATACCGTAAATCCTCTAATACAGGCCCGGGCCTGTATTTGACTCAAGCTCATCAAGCTCCAGGCCTTTATTGGAAGGATGACCAGAATTACAGGCAGGCCTCTATTTCTATTTGAGCAAATTGAACTAATGGTTCGCTGGAGTTTTTGACAATTAAAATTGCGCCCACATTTTCAAAGTTAAACACATTTCTTTTAACAATGGTAGTTTCTGCTTCAGCCCTCTCCCCTCCCCCTGCGCAGCGGCCGCAAACTCACTGATGCGCCTGCAGCCTCTCGGAGTTCCTGCTGCTCTAAACATTAAAATAATTATTTCATTTTTTGTTCCTCACTTCTGATGACCTTCAATGGTGTCTGTTTGTTGCAACCAGCAGGTACAAAAACTAACTTGTTTTTATTTGACTATTTTTCTGTCCTGTCTGTTTATTATCTTCCTGCATCTCCTCTCAATCCTAAAGAGAAACTGCTACCTGGGTTCATATATATTCACCTTATGAGTTACCTTTGAGCTGCAGTTCTAAAAGATCTACCGACCACAAAAACAGCAGAGTACTCGCTGCTTGGCGGCCGCATCAGTGATCGGTGCGTCACCGAAGGACAAGGTGATGCAGCGAAACACATTAGGCGCAAATAAAAGACAGAAAACATTAAAGGAAATGAGCCGACATGAACGATCGCGTGTTAAATTAGTTTTTGAGGTGGCGACACCTGATTTGATAATGTTACTGTGGCCGTGCGGCATGCGCAAGCTGGTTAAGGTTAGGATGGGGGTGAGGGGAAGGTTAAATTGCAAGAGGGAAAAGGTCACAATTTGGTTAAATGTCCGTTTTACGGCGGGTGTCAGTACCGACGCCCTGGCACAGCGCGTGCGTCCACCCCCCCCCCCCACCCCCACCCCCCCCGACGCGCAGGAGCTTGTCACCTGCTGACAGCAGGCTGCAGTCTTTTCCGTGGACTGCATCTTGCCGGTCATTATCACGTGACAGCGACTAGTCGATGACAGGCAGAAAAAGTCACTATAGAGCAGTAAAGTCGACTAGTGACTTGTTCATACAACCCCTACTGCTCCCCAGAGTGTTCTGCAGCATAATCAGCACGTTCTCTTTGAACTTGATATCAAATTTTCGCCTCCTCTTCGTCTCCGCACCAGCCAAATCGCGGTCTGTCACTGGCAAATCAAAAGTGAGACGGATGACACAACTGCTCGCTATTGGGCGGACAACAACCAACCAATTAAATAACTCTCATGCACCACTCAGATGATCAGTCATCATTTCCTCACAATTCCCTTCTTACTACTGCATGTGAAAGCGTTGCAACACGTACTACATGGCAATTAGTTGTCGTTAAAGTGGATGAGTTCCTTTCCACCGCCAGCAAAGTGGAATGTTTTGTACATGCCCCAGAAGCAAAGGAGCACTATCATTATGTTTCAGGTCCATTTTTTTATGCACTATGCTTCCATACCATGTCAAACTCCGTAGTTAAGGCCCTCTCTTAGGCTCACACCAGACTAGCCAGCCTGGTCTATCTATGCACTTCAGCTGCACTCCTCCTCCCCAGAATCCATGGTCTGTCTCCAGGGAGATGGAACAGCCTGGAAGAAAAATCAGTTGGGCTTCTGGCCACCCTGGAAATAATATTTGAGTGCCATCCTCTGTGTACACCTTATCAGCCTCCAGGGTGCCATTATTGACCTCTCTCCTGATTGGGCAGGCCCAAGAACGGGCAGCAGTGCTCAGCATTGATTACGCCCAATTGTAGCTGAGCTACATAAGACCATTTTCCTTCCTTAATATAGCATTGTTTTTTGAAAACAATGTAGCCAATTTGCTGCAGCGCTGAGCCGGCATCAGGGAGCCATAGGTGGTTCTGCTGCCAGATACTTCCGTTTATCTTGGACATGCTTTTATTGGGATCAAAGCTGCGCTCATTAAGTTTTTTTTAACAAGCCACTCCTAAAGGTGTCTGTCTTCCACAGTCCCCTCATGAATAGTCAGGTGATCTGAGCTCTAGCTCTAAAGCCCTTTTCAGACTGACATTCTGGAACATTTGCGGACAATTCAATCCGGTTTTTAACCGGAACTGTGTTTTCAGACACCAGGGTATCCGCGGGTCCTTAAAAAGTCTTAAAAAGTCTTAAATTAGCTTTTCCTAATTTAAGGCCTTAAAAGTCCTTAAAAATGACAAATAATCCTTAAATCCAGTTTCCAGAGGTCTTAAATTACCAATGACCAATGGTACCAATGAAACAAGATTCTTTTATTTCTATAAAAATTTCGTGAATTTCTAGTTAGTGTTCAGCATTTTTTGTGTATGACGTTGACGTAAGCGGAACCGTACGCAGTCAGTTGGGTGTGAAAGGGGGCTATTTTTCTAGATAAGCACATTAGCTGGTTAAGCTAGTGGGAGCTTGCGCCATGGGGAAGGGCAAGTTTAATGGTAACTGGATGGCTAATCCCACGTTTGTGACGTGGTTAGCACCGGTTCCAGGCAATAGCTGGAAATTATCACTTAAATTTAATTTTTAAAATAGCTTAAATTTGGTCAAAGTGGCCTCAAAAAAGGTCTTAAAAAGTCTTAAATTTGGCTCCCTTAAATCTGCAGGTACCCTGGACACACCACTTTTGTACCGGAACTTGTCCTTTCGGCTGCGTTCACACAGCAGGTAAAAGTTCCAGATGTCTGACGGCAGCGGGGGGTGGGGTGGGGGGAATCGGACTTATGTTAAGAAGAAGAAGAAAATATCATTTCTATAGCGCCTCTCAAGATAAAAATCACGAGGCGCTTAAGCATAATTCTGCGCACACGAAGACGCATAAGAGACCTGGATGATGAAGCTCAATGGTTAAAGGAATCACTGAAGCGGTGTGAAGCGCTCTGTCGTGCGTCTAGGCGGTACCGTAGGAGGCGAGCTGCCGTGGTTCGCCGCATGCTACAGGAGCGGGCTATCTAGGTGCGCACAGCGTCCCCCGGCCCCCTCCTCCTCCCCCTCCCCCTTGTCCGGAACTTTACCTCACCAGTCTGAATCAGCCACCCTGTCCGTAACAAGTCCGGACCTGTTACTAGGGGCTTCGTCCGGTAAAATTCCGGAACGCGTTATCCGGATGTTTGTATTCAGACACAAAGGTCTTACGGACAGAGCCCGGAACATTTCCGTTTTTCATGGCCTGTCTGAAGGGGGCTTCTCAGAGAGAAGCTCCTAGAGTGCTGAACTGCTCCAGTTCATCATCTCAGATGGTTCTGTTTACAAAAGCGAAACTTAACGCCCACGTTTACTTTCATTTTCAATAAAGTTGCCGCTCATACCGCCTTGGCCTGCACATTCCTTCTGCCTCCTTCTGCCAGTCCAAGTCCCAATCACTGCTCACGCCGAGCCCAATGTGCAGGACAAATCCGTGTAGCTGGGCCACCCACCACCGAAAGAATGGGACCACCGAGAGGTATGCTTTGCACATACTGTGGGTAGTCAGGAGACTGAAATCTCCAGCTTCAGCTGGGAAACAACCAAGCCAGATGAACCTCAGAAGAGTCTCACCCGGGTAGTCAAGACCAGCTTGCTTCCTGCTCCCGGTCCAACTCATCCATCACCATTCCCAACAATTCTCTCAAGCCCCCCAGCCAGTCTCTTTCCCAGATACCACCCTGAGACCAATGGTCAGACAGAGTGCTCCAACCAGAAGGTGTGAAAGTACCCCCTGTGCTCCAGTGATAGATAGTTCTGCCCAGAGAAGGGCTACAGACCCTCCTCTGAGCAGAGCTATCCATCAAACTTCAGACCTCCTCCACCATGGACTTTTTGCCATCTGAGATCTGCTGCCAAGCCCAACGTGCAAGATGAACCCATGCTGCAGGAACACATTATTATTGCCATTAGTATTATCATTATATTTTACAGGGCAACCAAAATGCTCCCGTACATTCGACTTAAACAATGCAGGTGATTTTTTTAAGCTCCTCTTCTCCTCCCCCACCATGACCACCACTGTGTTTTTCTCATTTGGAGTGAACAGTGATGCTTCGGCCCTTCACGTGACCAGTTCTCTGAGCACATGCATGCCGAACCTTAGAGAGAGATCTGAATGGATCACAGATCAGTGATGATCTGTTGCACCCCTGCTGTGTACCACCCGAGGTCCTCCTTCTCCCTCCATCTCTATCGATGGGAGACCGCCTACCTACCAAGACTTGGCTAAGGCCTTCAGCAAGACCCAGGCCACCTTGTTACCACCCTAGACGCCCTATGACATGACTATCAACTAGGGATGCACAATATATCAGCATCAATACCGGTATCAGCTAGCACTACACAATATATAGCAAATA